AGGCTAAATACATTAACTGAAAAAGAAAAACCCCAAAACCCCAAGTGACTAAAGTATTGAATGATATTTGAAATTGAATGTTAATAAAATCAAATTAAAATGGGAATGATTTTTACTACGCTTTGGCAAAAGTTGTAGCGTAAAGATAAAGAATACAAAATTATCATAGTTGGTCTTCATAATGCTGGAAAAACAACTATCCTTTATAAATTAGCCTTGAACGAAGTTATAGTAACACAGCCAACTATAGGCTCTAACGTTGAAGAAGTTTCGCATCGAAATGTTAAGCTCTAGGTCTGGGATTTAGGAGGTTAAGAAAATCTAAGATCAGCTTGGGATGCCTATTATCAAGGAGCAGAAGCAGTAATTTATGTGGTAGATGCAGCTGATGATTCCTAGCAAAGTTTAGTGTCAAAGATGGAGTTTTTCAATCTTTTAATTCACAATGATTTGAAGGATGCAGTCATTTTAGTATTTGCAAATAAGATAGATCTTCCTACTGCAATGAATGCTGCTCAAATTACAGAGCTTTTTTCATTGCATGAAATTAAAAATCATGAGTGGTTCATTTAAGGATGCTGTGCATTAACTGGTGAGGGTCTAGAGGATGGATTAAACTGGTTAACATCTAAGCTTAGCTAGAAACACAAATTAAAAGCCAGTAGTACATCAGGAAAAGATGGGGCTTATGTTACTAAATTGCCTGACCATGACAAAAGAGCAAAGCTGACAGATCTAACAATGGAGGACTAAGATCCAAGAAGCTCAAGAAATGGAAAAGAAATAATTGATCTAGAGTCTAGCTAGAGGTCAATAAAAAATAAGAAGTACTATCATGAAGAAGAAAAATAGTGACATCAATACATTTAAGCTTCTTTGGGCTTGTTAGAATTGCTACTGTGTATATAGATTATTATCATAAAAGTAAATAAACAAACTTAATAGATTAATTAACAATTATCATATAATTTAATAATTATATAAAGAAAAGATGAGTTCTAAAATGGTAGGAAGGGGCGATAATAGTGAGAAGCCCTATGCTTACATGCGTGACACTGAAAACACTATGCTTTATTCTCCTCTTGATCACCATGGAGGCAAGTTCTTAGGAAGCTGGAACAAGCTTATCAACATGAAAAATAATCTCTTATATGAGGATAAGGAAAAGTATTTCTACGAGTATCAAGCTAGACACACTGCCAAGCTTTAAGTTGGTTCTGTTCCAGTTTGTTTTGGAAAATGCATAAAGGATGTCGAGGCAACTGGAGGTCTTACTGGTGAGGAAAAGAACTGTGTACGTGAATGCTATCTCAAGAGAGTCAGCGCTAAGGATGACTTGAACTTGATGCTTCAACAGAGATATGCCGGAGATTATATTAAGGGACTCAAGGATAATTATGTCTGAACCTTAAAATATAGAAATCGACTGGCAGATGCGCTATTTAATCTATATTTAGCTGCAATCTTAGCTTGGAAGATCAGAGAAACAGGTTGTATTCTCACTTATTTAACATTTAAATATTCAGACATTCACATTCATTATTATTCTTTTTCAATTTATGTTATTGAAGCAACATGGGGTTTTGGGGTTTTGGGGTTTTGGGGTTTT